TTTCTCTTGTAAAGTTCTACCAGTTCTTTATATATCTTGGATATTAACCATTTATGGAATGAGTAGAAGACAAATAGTTTCTCCCAGTCTGTGAGCTCTTTTTGTATTCTGCTCATCATTTATTTTGAGGTGCAGACGTTATTTTTTTTTTTAGTTAGTGAAACACCATGAGGTGCAGTTGTAGACTTACAAATTTTTGTGCTTGGGTTTCAGTTATACAATGAACAAGTACCCATGTCACCACCAGTGCCCATTCTCCACCCCCACCAATCCCAGTATCCCTCCCACCCCCTCACCCCCCCCCCCCATTCCCCCATCCCACCCTGCCTCTGTGGCAGGGCATTCCCTTTTGCTCTCTCTCTCTCCTCTTGGGTGCTGTGGTTTGCAAAAGAGGCCCTCCCGTTGTTCATCGATTTGCTCGAGCGGGCCCAGTAACGTCTCCATTGGAGATTTTATTGTTACTGTGTTTGGCATATCGAATACATCACGGGTGGCTTGCCAGGCTCTGCCGTGTGGGCGAGATACTCTCGGTAGCTTGCCGGGGTCTCCGAAAGGGGTGGAGGAATCGAACTCGGGTCGGCCATGTTGGCTGCGTGCACGGCAAACGCCCTACCGCTGTGCTATCGCTCCAGCCCTGCAAAAGAGGCATTGGGTGGCAATCATGTTCAGTCTATGGTCTACTTTCATCGTGCATCTCCCATCCTAGGCGGATCTTCCCAGCACCCTTTATTTGGTGCTGCCTTCTCTATCTGAGCTGAGGTGCAGAAACTTCTTAATGTAGTCTCATTTGTTCATCTTTGCGTCCATTTGCTTGATTGTGTTTTATCCTTAAAAGTGCCTCTAGCTTTAGTGTCATGGAGAGATCTACCTGTTTCCCTCTGTGCTCCTTATGGATTCAGGTCTGATAGTGAGTTCTTTCATCTGTTTTGCTTTGACTTTGGAGCTCCGTGTTAGAAAAAAGTCTGAGTTTAGGTTTTCACATGTGGCTGCCCAGTTTTCCCCAGCATCACTGGAAGAGATTTTCCTTGCAACACTCAGTACTTTTTGCTTCTTTATTGAAAATTAACTGTATGCCTGAGGGTCTGTCCATACTCCAGTACAACATTGTTTTAGTTACTACCACGTTGTCTTACAGCTTTAAGTTGTGGGCCAGAGTGTCTGTACAGCGAGTCAAGCGCTTGCCTTGCACATGGTTTCACTCCTTGGCATCCCATGTGGTTCCTTGAGCACCATCAGGAGTGAGTGATCCCTGAAATTAGGACGAGGAGTAAGCCCTTATTACAGCGTGTGGTCCAAAAACAATTAATTTTTTAAAAATATTTCTGATTGTGGTCTTTCGTAGTTAAAAGTAAAACGTAAATGTAATCTAATTTTAAGGAAAAAGTTGGGAGCTGAAGAGAACAGGAGGTAAGGAATGAAGGAAGGTGCTTGCCTTACTCACCCAGCACCACGTTTGGTCCCCTGAGCCCACCAGGATTGTTCCCTGAAAGCAGAGGCAGCAACAGTCCCTGGCCACCGCTGGGTGTGGTCCCAAAACAACAAAAACAGGAAATTAAAAGCAAGTGATCAGTAACTACTTGGAAAATGCATTAATACATCAGTGTAAACAAAATCAAAACACTTGTTATTTTTACTTATTAGGAAGTTTTTTTTTTAACATGCCCACTCTGAGGGTTTTATATTGAACAAAAGATTCTTAAATGTGAATATTAGTGACGGTTTTGAATTATTTTAATGCTCCCTTATGCTTGTCCATATATTTTTCACAGTAACCATGTTATTATGAAGAAACTCCAGCAAATATTTTTCTTAAAATCCTAGTCTGTGGGGATATTTCCTTAGGCAGGTCTCATTTAATTTTTTACTTTGGAATACAGAAATTTTCTTAGTTTATCTAAAACAAGTGCTTTTCTGAAATGTATGTGTGTACATTTTTTAGTGTATGTGTAATTCCTGGATCCATGTCAGTAAGTTGTGATTATTGTTCCTAAGAGATTATTCTGCTTTTCTGGGGAGACAGAGTAATAGTTCTATATAAAAATAAATAACATCCACATAATGCCCTGATAACTAAAGTGCTACAGGACATGATTTGAGTAAGATGATCTGAATTTATTGCGCATGTTCTGAGACTGTGGTATGTAGATTCTTGTGTTGATGATAGATCGCTCTACACCGTCTGCCTCAGCACAGCCCCTCAGCTTTGGCCATCAGAGTGTCCTCAGTTTGTGCCACCGTCCCCAGGTCAGGAATTTACCTTGTGTTTTCATTCAGCTCATCTTGGCTTAATAGCTATCACTTAACATATAAAAATCACATAGTATGACATTACACAGAATCCTTTTGTCTTCTTGGTCTCAGCCCTCTGAAAACTTTTGGCAAAACAGAACTTCCGGTGACTAGAATCCCTGCGCGTGTTTATCTTTTCTTCAAACCAGTATTCACACGTGCTTTGTGTGCAGGAGGCCCGGAGCCTGTCCTTGGTACTACGTGTTCTCCTAGCACGCCCAGGAGCAATGCCCACCACCCTCAAGCCCTGAGCTGAGAGTAGCCCCCAAGCTCAGCTCCCTGTGGGCCTCAAACCAGAGCAGAGAACCCATGTCTGGAACTTTGGGAGGGAGCTCGGAGTCGTGGAGCACACGCCTGCATGGCAGGGCCCTGAGTTTGACTCCCACAGCAGGTGGCCCTCTACCTGCCAGTCATTGTGGAGGTCCGCTACTTAATACAGTGTTTTTTCTTTTTTTTTTTTAATTTATTTTATTTTATTTATTTATTTATTTTTTGCTTTTTGAGTCACACCAAGTGATGCTCAGGGGTTATTCCTGGCTCTGCATCAGGAATCACTCCTGGCAGTACTTGGGGAACCATATGGGATGCTGGGGATCGAACCCGGTTTGCCACATGCAAGCAAATGCCCTACCCGCTGGGCTATCACTCCGGCCCAATACAGTGTTTTTTCAATAGTGTTTTCTACAGTTCTTTATGCTAAATATACTGTGGATTTAAATAAGTTTTGGCTCAGATATTCTTGTGAGTTAAATTAAAAAAAAAATGTTTTGTTTTCATTTCTGTTTTTGTCCATACCCAGCGGTACTCAGGGGTCACTATTGGTTCTGCATTCAGGGATCACTCCTGACAGAATTCAGGGGATGGAACCCGGGTTGGCCATGTGCACAGCAAACACCCACCCCCCTGTACTATCTCTCCGGCACCTTGTTTCAACATTTTGGGGGGTTAGAAAATGCAGTTTGTGTTTTATCTGTAGTCTACTTACAAATTGAATACTTCTCTGAAGTATTATATATTTTTTAAACGATTACTTGGTGCCAGTCTGATTCCGTATTATTAATATTTCCATTTAGATTGCCATCTTAATAATTTCCTAGTTTTCACTTTTCATTTAAAAACTGTGATCGTGTCACAGTGATCTGGTTTTCCATATGGCAAGAATTTAGATTTCATTATGCCATTTCTGTATTTTTTCCTTGAATTTGCTGCAAAATTTCATGTTATGAACTATCTTAAAACCTGTAGAATCTATTGTAGCATCATCATAATTCTATTTGATGAAAAATCGTATAAAACGATTGCTTCATGGACCAAGGATCTAATTCATTTATAAAGCACTTGCCTTGTATGTGAGACTCTGGGTTTAGTCCCTGACAACAAAAAATAAGGTAGATTGGTTCATTATTTCTTTTGTCAGTTGAATTTATTATTAAACCCTGATTTTAAACATTTGCCTTTTCAATTTATAGTAGTAATGACAATCATGTATACACTCTTTTAGGATATTCTTTTGAAAACAGTAACTGTTACTTTGTGAAAGTTATAACTATAATACTTTCTTCTCATTGATCCAAAACAAATTAATGGAAAAATATAGATGAGCCTTTTTTTTTCAGGTTTCAAGTGAAAATAGTGATATAATTGTCTATAAAGAAAAAAAAAACTGTTATAAAGACCATAAGCTTTACAGTCATCATGGCCTCAAAAAAAGGGGGGGGGGGGGACATTCATCTTTATATAAACAATAAGAAGAAAATTATGAAATACTGGGGCTTGTGATAACTCAAAAAATCTCAGTCTTTCATTACTTAACCACAGTTCCATGTATTAACTCTCAGAGTAACTTTAAGAAATCATTCATTAAGCAGTTTGGTTTGCAGTAACATTGTGTAATTCTCAGATATTGAGAGAGATTTGGTCCTTAATAGAAATTATATAATTAGCAAAATTCTGACTTAGAAAAATGTTTTTTACTGTTACGAATGTTTTTTCCTTAGAAGACTTAATTCTTTTAGATATATCAACCATTATACTATAGTGCCTAGAGAATTTATTCTTCCTTTCATTAATTTTAAAATCAAAAAGAATGATAAGTTTTACATAGATACATTTACATATGATAATGATCCTATGCAAAATTATGTCTATTTTATCAATGTGGTCATTAAAAGCTCTGTAATTTTTGGGGGGGAGGGGGGTGGAATTGCCTTACAAAAGAAAAAGTGTCGTGATTTTATTGTCTTTTTTATTACATTTGTTTGGGAGGTGTCAGAAGCCCAGAGCCGCGCCTGGTGCTATTAGGCCCTGCTCTGTGGGCTTGACAGTCTGCCCATGGGGTGGTGCTCCAGCCTGAAGGTGCTCAAGCTGGAGGAGGAAGATGGGTAGTGTAGGGTGTCCGACCCGAGGCTTCTGCGTTCAAGGAATGGCTGCAGCCCATCAAGTAGTCTTCCCCTCCCCCACTTTTAAAGGCTTCTGAAGGCGCCCATTGTCCCTTGTGCATGCTTACTTCCTTATGCCATCATCCCATGAGTACTTAGTTTCAAGTTTGAGTATTCTTATAAAATAAGAATAAGTGCATCCTTTCTTTAGTATGAATCTCATAAGTATATTTCAGTTGTGAGTAACGTGCAGATAGTAACTTTGCAAGTTTATTAGTGTTTCCTAATGAGTCAGTGCTTGATCTGATTCACTCTGAGACGTTTCCCCCACAGCTCGTTGCATCCTGTTCCTCATCATTTGGCTCATAACTGGAGGACGGCACCACTTCTGGTTCTTGCCGAACCTGACTGCTGATGTGGGCTTCATTGACTCCTTCAGGCCTCTGTACACACACGAGTATAAAGGACCAAAAGCAGACTTAAAGAAAGATGAGAAATCCGAAGCCAAAAAGCAGAAGTCTGACAGTGAGGAGAAGTCAGACAGTGAGAAGAAGGAAGAGGAGGAGGGCAAAGTCGGAGCAGGGAATCACGGAACAGAAGGCTCGGGTGGAGAACGGCATTCCGACACCGACAGTGACCGGAGGGAAGATGACCGGTCCCAGCACAGTAGTGGGAATGGGAATGATTTTGAAATGATCACAAAAGAGGAACTGGAACAGCAGACAGATGGGGATTGTGAAGAGGAAGAAGAAGACAATGACGGAGAAGCAATTAAATCTCCACATGAAAAGTTATAATCTGATTCATTTTGGGACTGAATAAGTGCAAGAGGTTGGATTTTCTATGTTGGCTGGTTATCATAATTACCTGACATTTGTAGCATTCTTTAAATTCATTTACTGAAATAGATTTGACAGCCAAGCAGATACATTGAATTTTCCATTTCATAGAATACTACCATTGGTACAGTTCAAAGCCATTTATAAGTTTTACCCATTTGATGATTTTGCAGTAAGTAGGTTTTATTCATTTTGATAGTTATCAAAGGTGCACTTTCCATAGTGACATTTAGATTAATGGCATTTTGGAACAGTTTGTACGGTTAGAAGAAACAAAAGGGATTAAAAAGAAAACCCAGCATTTTAGACTATGCATAGTTAGATAACCATTTCACAGTTTCTTTAAGATGAAATGCTTAAACTTACTGTTTTGGATAGTAAAGCTTTTCTTGATTATAACATTATACCAAGAAATTTCTAAGATTCTGAGTTAGCCGGGTTCAGAAGCATTTTATGGAAATAAGCCAACTAGAAATAATGCAGTAGCACTTTTAGTTTAGCTACAAATTTTTCTTTTCCAACTAGGAAATCCAGACTGATTTGTACATCTAATTCAGAGCAGATGGTCATCCCCAGCAGGAAGGCAGTAGCACTGGCTGGAAGGCGATGACTTCTTCCTTCTTCCCTATTCCTTGTCGTAAAGTAAAAATGTATTCTGTACATAATTTACAAATAAACATTTTATTTTAATTGTTACTTATTATTTAGACATTTTCTCAACATTTAAATTTGTAAAATTAAGTCCTGTAAGGGTATGTTTTTAGAGAAACGGAAGTTACAATAACCCACAGAACGTCTGTGATCTTTCTACAGCAGCTTCAGTTTTGTGCCAACATTCCATGTATTTGAGTGAGTTGAAATGGTCCTTCTTAAGAGCAGACTTAAAGTAGCTGTTTGTATGCCTTAATGTTCATCTTGATTTATCTTAAATCTCTACATTCAGAAATGGGTATTGTTTTATCAGACCAGAAAGCACTGCTATGAAAGATAATTTACTGTTCTAAAATATAAATTTAAAATAAAGAACATAAAAATAAGAACCATTGGCTCTAATTACTTTAACTTTGCAGTTTGATTTTATGCCTTGCGTACCTTTAGTTACAGATCTCTGAGAAAAAGACTGCATTTACGTATGAGCACAAATCATCATCACATCATTCCTTGGAGTTTCACTCTTAAAAACTAAATTGAGTATTATTTTTCTTCGGATACAGTAAAAGCAGTTTGCTTCATAGTTCATTCGTGATGTTTTAGAGCTATATTTTGAGCTGTTTCCCATATAAGTGTTAAAAGATGTTAAATTTCTAATTGTGAAAAGATACACTTTTTGTATACTGACACATTTCGTCAAACATGGCTTGATTGCTGCTTTATAATCTTATCAGTAGATGGTAATGTAGCCATTTGATGTTATATAGCTTTATCCAGTTGAAGTCAGGCATTTTAAAAGTTTCCTCCTAACAAATATTAATTAAGGTGCCCAGGTGTTATTCCCTCACAGTTTCAGGCTTTGATTGCTTTACTTACATGGTTAAAGTTTATAAATTATAGCTTCTGAGCTGCTCAGTCACCAGCTGGGTTAGTAGATACTTTTGGGATGATAATGGCACCAAAAGTGTTCTTGAAGAAAAAGGAGAAATGAGTTCACCTTTATTACTAGGATGATACCTAGGCACTCAGTATTTATCTTAAAGGTGTGTGTGTGTGTGTGTTCACATATATAGAGATATACCTAATCTTAAAGATACTTGGCACATGGCAAGAAAGCTTTATGTTTGTGGATTCTTAGGAAATTTTGTATACAGTTCTGTAAGTATTTGTATTTGGTGGTCCCTGGGAGAAAATGTTTTTACCATGGGTAAAAGCAGTTCGGTGTCTTTTTTTTATTTTATTTTATTTTTTTATTAGTGAAACACCATGAGGTACAGTTATAGACTTACAAATTTTTGTGCTTGGGTTTCAGTTATACAATGATCAAATACCCATCCCTCCACCAGTGCCCATTTCGCACCACCACGGGTCCCAGCATCCCTCCCACCCCCCATCCCCCCCACCTCACCCTGCCTCTGTGGCAGGGCATTCCCTATTGTTCTCTCTCTCCTTTTGGGTATTGTGGTTTGCAAAAGAGGCAATGTGTGACAATCATGTTTGGTCTATAGTCTACTTTCAGCATGCTTCTCCCATCCTGGAGGATCCTCCCAACACCCTTTATTTTGTGCTCCCTTCTCTGTCTGAGTTTCCTTTTCCCCTAGCACGTGTGACTGGCGTCAAAGTCATGGAGCAAAATTCCTGGTAATAATCTCGGCCACTCCTGGGTGTTAGTCTCCCATTTTGTTACTTTATGTTCCCCAGATGAATGCAATCTGTGTCTATCCCATTCTTTCTGAGTCATTTCACTCAACATGATACTTTCTGTGTAGTATCACTTATATGTAAATTTCATGACTTCATCTTTTCTAACAGCTACATAGTACTCCATTATGTAAATGTACCAGAGTTTCTTTAACCAGTCATCTGTTCTCGGGCACTCAGGTTTCTTCCAGATTCTGGCTATTCTGTGAGTGCTGCAATGGACAAAAAGTGCAGATGTCACTTCGACTATACTTTTTTGCCGGTGTCTTTTTTTTTTTTTAGTGAATTAACAGATACTTTAAGAAAAAAAGAAACCTAAGGCTTTCACTATCCTGTCACTTAGAACTGCTGTCTTTGTTGACAAAGGTATATTCTTAGGTTAGATATTGAAGGACTGTTTACATTAGTCAAGGGAATGGGGGTTTTGGTAATTTTTCCCCCAAGAATGATTTTATGTGCTAACTAGAACAAAACTTGGATAATGTAGAATTTACTATGAAGTAGACTTCAGTTGACCTAAGTATGCAGGATTGAATTAACCAGCTGGCCCACATGATAAGAATAATGCATATGTGATTGTTCTTCGATTCCTCCACCCCTCTCGAAGAGCCCGCATGTCAGCCTGGCAAGCTACCCATGACGTATTCAATACGCCAAAAAACAGTAACAAGTCACAATGGAGATGTTACTGGTGCCTGCTCGAACAAATTGATGAACAATCCATGAACAAGAGGACAGTGCTGTAATACTTTTTTTAAAAAAAAAACTATATGGCCTTCTAAACAACTTCTGATTAAAATAGTTTACTATATTACATGAAAATTGCCGTAGTGATGGGTTTCAAAGTTTCTCCTCTTTTTGGTTTTACATTGAGTCAGATAGTTGCTGACTATAGAAAAATCACCGTGTCTTTAGTAAATTGAGTTTTCTTTTTTCAGTCAAGAACTGGAAATAGCAAGTATAGCTGATTTTACTGTTGTATTTAGCATCCACAAAGTCACTGCCTACGTAATTTAATGAACACAGAACCATTGCTACTTGGAGAACACTGTCACTGTTCTCCCATTGTTCATCGATTTGCTCGAGCAAATCTTAACGTCTCCATTTTGAGACTTGTTGTTATGTCTCGGTAGCTTGCTGGGCTCTCCGGGAGAGCCAGAGGAATCGAACCCTCCTCAGCCGGGCTGGCTGCACGCAAGGCAGACACCCTACCGCTGTGCTATCGCTCCAGCCCTCTGCGTGGAGAAACACAGAACAACTGTTCTGTGAGCTTTTAGTCATGTTTTTCATCTACCAGTTAATACGTAAACTTAGTATCTGTTTTGTTGGCTTATTAACGATTGAACTCAGAGTTAGCAGCACTGTAATTCATGTCCAACAAGCCTTTTCATATCAACATGTCTTTTCTCTGTAAGGAATTGGACCGTTTTCTGCTCTACAATATTCCACACCATGTTTGGGGTTATTTTAAACAGTGGGCTGGCCCAGTAGAAAGCATAAAATGAAAAAGTGTAGTACCAAATATAAAAATATTTGTTTACAGTGTAAGAACAAAACAAAGCAGCAGGTCACTTTGTTCAACTTCAAATGGGAACATGAAGCTTTATACAATCACGATGTCCATACATCAATGTGAACGTGCACGGGAATTTCAGGGTAGGAAAATGTAAAACTGAAATTCACAGGTAAAAATCCAGATTGTGCTTAAATACATAGGTTTAAAATACACAAGATATATATATATATATAAAGTGTGGCATAGTGATCAGAATAGAATTTATTCAGCAACATTCCAAGTATCCACTCTAAAAGTACATGGTTCTAATTGTGTCTAATAGTTTGCTTTTCCTGATCAGTGTTCCGGTTCTTCATTAATGCTGAGCCACTTACAGAATCTTACTAAACATAGTCATAAATGGAAAAAAAATAGAATACTTACCCTCTTGGACTAGCGAATAGTATGCTACGTGCTATGGTAGGGACAGACCACACACGCCCTCCAGTTTCAAGCACATCAGTGGGCTCCTCTGCTTTCTGACTTCTGGGTAGTTGTGGCCAAAAAGTGTCCCAGCCGAAGCTCTGTGAGGTGGTCACCATGTCCAATCTCTTGACTCTTAGAGAGGCACAGCCACCATCGTCAAATACTTCTTTCAGGTGTCTCATTATTTTGGGTTACTGCTCCCCATTTTTGGCTACTAGAATTAGCTCAAGTTGTTGAAGCTACTTTCTCTTGTGACCCCCCCCCCCCGCCCCTGTCCCTACACCAATACCTTCAATACCTTTGTTTTTAATTAAATCACTGTGAGATACAAAGTTCACAATCCGTACACCCACACCTTTTTTTTTTTTTTTTTTTTTTTTAGTGAGACATCATGAGGTACAGTTGTAGACTTACAAATTTTTGTGCTTGGGTTTCAATTACACAATGATCAAATGCCCATCCCTCCACTGGTGCCCGTTTCCCACCACCACGGATCCCAGTATCCCTCCCACCCCCCAACCCTCCCCCTCCCATCCCACCCTGCCTCTGTGGCAGGGCATTCCCTTTTGTTGTCTCTCTCTTATTGGGTGTTGTGGTTTGCAAAAGAGTCAATGACACCCACACCTTTGTATAGTATCTTACCGAAGTATCTTTTTTTTTTCTTTTTGGGTCACACCTGGTGATGCACAGGAGTTACTCCTGGTTCATGCACTCAGGAATTACTCCTGGCGGTGCTCGGGGGACCATATGGGATGCTGGGAATCGAACCTAGGTTAGCTGCATGCAAGGCAAACGCCCTACCCGCTGTGTTATTGCTCCAGCCCCCAAAGTATCTTTTAAAAAAAAAAAATGTAGGAGTATTGCTGTTCAGCCATTGATTAAGCTGATTGAAGTGGCCATGAGCACCACATTACTTTTTCTTTTTGATTTTTAAATTGAATGTGAGATAGACCATTACAAAGCTATTCATACTTGGGTTTCAGTCATACAATGATCCAGCACCCGTCCCTCCACCAGTGTACATTTCCCACCACCAATGCCCCCTGTTTCCCTACCACCATCCCCCAACACCCCACCCCACACCCCAAACCTCCCTCTATGGGATGCACTTTCCTTCTTGCTCTCTTTCTCCTTTTCCTTTTGTGTGCTATAGTTTGCAATACAGATACTAAGAGGTTATGGTGTTCAGGGCGTTCGGTATTTTTATCGGGAAGGTAAGGCTGCAGTAGCTTTTTGACAGAGTGGCAGATTTGGGGTGTGGATGTGACTGCCGAGGCTTCTGGAAATACAAAGAGGTGGGGGGAGGTAGCCCATCCCGACCCCGAGAAAGCCTGGAGATTTCAATCACAGTTTCCACCCCCCTCCAATTTACTCCTGTCTATTCAGCCAGACACAGGTTCAAGATTAACTGCAGCTTTTGATCTCTTTGGATATTTATTTATGGGTCTCTGAAGCAAGGCCAGCAGTAGAACTTACATGGTTGTGCTGGATTTGGTTCAGGGGGGTGACTGACCGCCAGTGCTTCCAGAAGTATTGGGAAGCAGGGGGAGGTAGCCCATCCCAAGTCCGAGAAAGCCTGGAGATTTCAGTCACAAAACCCGCATACCTGAATTTTCAGCAGATTATTGCTTGCTGCGGTCCATCCTGAGACAGTGGAGTCAGGCTGGAGGTAAGATTGTGATTTTGGAATATGGGAGCAAGCTGCTG